GGAACCATACCTGGCTCTGTGTGGTTAATAAACGTTAACTGCCTACATAGGCAACAAGTACATATCTGACCAAGATTTGAACAAAGGCCTATTTTAACTCAGATCCTTTCTTTTTCTAAGTCAAGGGCTTGTAAACGCTTTATAAAATATGGGTCATATGGTCCTGCTGTAACTACCTGATTCTGCCACTATAGTCCAAAAACAGCCACAGACAATATGTAAGGAATGGATGTGGCTGTGTTCCAATAAAACTTTATTTGCAAAAATCAGGCAGTCTATGGTTTGCTGACCCCTACAAGCCGTCACTAAGATAACTAAAAAGATAAAAATATACATCAGTATTTGCATTTCATTATCCAACTGAGGAAGACTTGAAAGAGAACTATGCATGTTGCTATCTGAAAGGTTTTTGGCTTAGTCGTGGTTTGATCATCACACTAACCATCACTGAAAGCAACAAAGAGCTTATTATGCATGACTGGCTTCTCTTAAGCTGGGCCACAAAAAAATCAGACCTCATAGAATGGGCTCCTCAGAGAATCTTCTACCCTCCAATAGAAAAACTGTAATTCCTCATCTTAAAGAAACAAAGGACAAAAGCGTGTCAGCAAATGATTATATACGATTCCTACGTATATAGCGGAAAGCTTCAGGTAGGACCCCAGGAGAATTACTCAATTCAAATCCTAGAATGATGCTGTTTAGCTTTCCTGGGTTAAACAAAGATGACAGAAGCATCAAAAAGCTGTACAATTATGAAAAAGTACATTTTTGAAAACCTGAGTTCCCCTATAAACATGAAGTTTGATTAATAACTTATGATCAAGCATACAATCTTGATTAGAGGTTTGGAAGCAACTAAACCTGTGCCATGTTTTAAAAAATAATTCCTGAGATAGGCAAGAATCTTGCCCCAGACCTAAAAAAAAAGGTCTCATAGAAACATCAAGTATGGTAATTTAAAGTTAGGGAATCAGAAGCCACAAAAGGTAGAATCTTCTTAAGAGAAGCAGACAAGTTCATATTCTCTCCATGTTTGCAACAGAAGCAACACACAAAAATAAAGATTTAAATTCTCTCTCTTAAAAAGAAATACATGACTGCTAGTAACAGCAAAGCGTCTAGTAAGGAAAGCTCTATCAGTTTTTTAAAACTTAGGACTACGGTTTTCCTTATCAGTTATTCGTACTTCCTACTCTCTCTCCTTCAAAGGTTTTGCAAGGATCAAATAAGATATTCATGAAAGTGCTAGGTAAGTCATTAGGCCCTATAAACAACATAAATGGCATTATAAGTATTAACATTACTGTTATTATTACATTGATCAACTGAACTACTGCCACGCTGATAACCAATTTTTGGCACTCAGTCTTTTTAATAAGACCCTAAACTCCTAGAAGTCGACTATTCCCACAGCCCAAACAGCGTAATGGAAAGCACTGTTGTTAGGAACACTGCCTCTTAAATATCATTTGAGCTGAATTGAAACTGATCCCAGAAAACAGCAGATGTTCAATAAAAGGTTGTTAAATGAATAAATAAAAGAATAAATAGTAGTTACCCAATGCACATTAGCTCCAATTTTCAGTTGATTGCCTTCTTTTTTTTCTCTTCTAGTTAGTGGGTCAGTCCTCCATAACTCCCTCCCTCTGTTATAGCTCCCCACAGTCTCAAATACTGGAGGAAAACATACCCCTTTATGTTACTATTACAGGCATAAATTCTCACTGAAAAAGTGATGAACAGAGAGACAGCACAGCGCTAATGTGTGTGTGCAGGGGGAGGTGAGGCAGGGAGAAACTGGTGGAGCCAGAAGAGGTGATAGAGACAACAGAGAAGGTAGGGGTGGGAAAAAGCGGGTGGGATAAAGAGGGTGGGATTCCCTTCTGGGAATCTGGAAGAGATCTCCCCTGTACTTAGGGGCAGTCAATAAAGTGTAAGCCTTGATATCACAATGTGTGTACTCCTATAATGTATTCCGATATACGAAAATTGAAAAACCAGACTGATAAAACAGGAACAACTCAAAATCTTTAATTCATAAAATTATAGCTAAAAGCAGTCACACTCCCATGTTAACTGGGAAGCAGTCTTCTTAGGATACAAGGAAGAGAGTGTACATTCTCCCGGCCCCAAAGTGGTCCCCTCGCTGCTTCATCTTGGTGGAGTTATCAGTCTTTCTTGACTAGTACAGTTTCCAGGTTTAAAAAAAAAAAGTATTTCTTTAAAAAGAATCCATGTTAAAACTTGGGGTCTAGCTTGCTGTAACAGGAAAATAAAAATAGACATATTCCAAAGATGGTATTGCCATTTCATTGATCGTTAGTCCTAAATGGGTGTTGAAACTTTAGAGAGGCAGGCTCATTTTAAAAATTAAATGTAATGTAAAAACCACGAATTTAGCCCTTTCAGCTTCTTTGGGGAGTGAACTTTATTTTTGGAGCATTTTCACTGGACCTCTGACAGACAAAAGTAGTAACTTTTATTTTTAATGATCTCTCCCACTCCCCTTTTATTAAAAAAAAGTAAAATACTTTTAAAAGAATGAGAACAGTGGAAAAATACAGAAAAATACAAGATTCTAAGTGCAAAGTTTTCTAAATGCATGCTACTTGAAACTCTCAAAATATCACCACTTACATATAAGTAGTGACTTTACCTGGGTCCCCAAATCGTATTTTAAAATCCTAACATTATAAATCCTTCACTAAAGATGCATTCGTTTAACACGACAAAAATTATTGAGGATCTGTTTGTCTTGTACCATTTTCTGACACAACTATTGTATTTCTTTCCTATGTGTTATTCAACGAGCCCTCTAGCAAAATAATATTTTAGCCATGACACTTTTAAAAATTCCTAATGAGTGTAGTATCACGGTTCTAAAGGACTAACTGTCCATTCTACCTTGCACATTCTTCTGCTTAAAATTGTTAATATAATCTCCCTCACTTCTGATCATAAGTGAATTTTGGGAAAACTCTCCATTAATCTTATTTTCCTTTCAAGTGAAAATCACTACCCATTACCCAAAAGAGCAACTTCTGCTCTTCGTGTAAAGAAGTTGCTTGCCCATGCCGCCTGTCTCAGAAAATTTAGAAGTCTCACTAAAGAGCTGAGGAGGAAAGCTGCTGGGAATGTTCACAGATACCTTATTTTACAAGGTTTTGTGAAAAGAGCTTGCGTTTAGATTAGTTATTACTCAGGGTTTATGAGGGTTGTTTGTCAAGCCTAAAATAAGGTGCCTCCTCCCCACAAATTAAAGAATCAAGTTACAATCCATTATTTCATTTCTGATTGTTTTTCTTTGTAATAAGTGGGAAAGTGGATACTGGATAAAAGTCTCCCCTGAGCTAAAGGACTCCACATTAAAGGCTTCAATTAGCTATAAATCAGTTGTCTTTCCTACTGGGGGAGAACAAGAGAAAAGAGAGAGGGGGGGTTGTCAGAGAAAAAGAGAACTGGAAGAGCTTCCAAATTAAATTCCGAGATACCTACTGCATACCTAAAACCCCTTTCAAAGGGGCTATGAGGAAAATCCAACCTAAAGTAAGACTAAAAATCAAGCCCTCTCAAATCTGAGGTCTACTCTCACACGCAGATCTTGCATACTAAGACCTTTAAGGAGAGCCTGAAGAGGTTAGGGGCCCGCATAAAGCAAAACTCTTGAGCTGCATGCTTTCCCTGCTTGCTCCTAAACTCCGAAAAGTGCCACACATTGGCACCATTGTTATGCAAACAATGCCTAAATGGTTGTAACCATTAACGACCTCTCATTAAAATGGCTTTCAAAAATTTGTCACACCATCTAAAAAAGCTAACAGGTACATTAAAACCATCTAAATTGGCATTCAAAACACGAGTCACCCTGATTTCGGTCCTAAAACTCAGCAAGTAAAATTTCAATGTTCTGTCGGGTTTTCAAAAAATTTCTCATTCAACCATTAAGCCAGAACCAAACAATTTATTTCTCGACAAGATTTAGTTTATCTTGTAATAAGCACAATGGAAAACAACTTTAACCATATTGTGTATGCGCAGTGTATGTTTAAGTAATTGGGAGATGTTTGTTGTAGAAATAAACTGAAAGGAATAGAAAAATCAAACAAGACAACTGCAAAGGAACTCCAAGAAACATTACTTTAAATTGTATCTATTTCTCCCCCCAACCCAATGCTATAATATAATCCCCCTTTGTGTGTAATTAATACACTTCCTTCTACGTCAAATTTGTGGAAAGAAAGTGAATTCTATACATCAAGGTAGCGAATGCATATTCCTTTTTACGTTGTGGTGCAACAAAAAATTCCTACTTGGCCACCCCAACATTCGTTATAAAAAATAATTTTTTTTCAGTTCAAAAGCGAACCCGTTAATTTGCACAGATTTAAAGACCTCTGAGTTTTCCAGGAAAACTGCCACTGCCTACAAAATTCTAATGAAACGCTGACATTGGGTCTCCTGCACTCAGCGGCCAGGTTTCCACGAAGCGTGCACAGGCGGCCAGACCGCTGCGTGCCTGGACGATCCGACGCGAACGCCGCTCGCTGCGCACCGTGCGGGCCGCCGAGGACCCGAGCCGGGCCGGCGGCCCAGGAGAAGAGACCGCCGGGCTGCGAGGCCAGCCTGGCGAGGGACCCCTCCTCCCCCTTTGACGGGTCCAAGCGGGGCCGACGCCTTCCCCGCAGCAGTCGGGACCCGGAGAGTCGGACCACAAGGCAGCGGCAGATGCGGTTTGGGAGGGAGCCGTTGACGGCGACCCTCAGCGCCGCGCGGCAGGTTGGGGCGAGTCCCCGACGAGTCCCAAGACCTGGCGGGGCTTCAGAAGCCCCAACCCCACGGACGGGGTTTCCCTCTGCTGCGCGGGGACGACAGGCTGGCCCGGAAGACCCTGGCCTCCGACTCTGTCACGCCGCCAGAGCTTTACCCCTAACAGACCACGGAGAGGAAGGAAGGTTCTAGAAAGTCTCCGTGGACTGCAGGCCCTCGCGACGCCTTACCTTGGTGTACTTGATCTCCAGGTTGGGCGTGGGCGACGGCAGGAGGTGCAGGGACGCCATGAGGGCGGCGGGGTCGGCCTTCACCTCGCCGGGCATCTCAATCTCACTGGAAGTCATGGAGGCGGGCGGAGGTCTCGCTCGCCCGC